TTATAAATTCCTTTATCTTAAAAGTAGTTTTTGTTCTATTTGAGGTAAATTCTGTCGTTTTTGATGGCAATGTTGAATCAGCAGTTTTACATACAATGCAATTTTTACATTTATAGAAGCCTATAGAATGAGGAAAAAAGACAATGAGTTTTTTGGTGGGATTGATTTAGTAAAATTGGTGGTTAAAATTGATTTAAAATTTGGGGCTCCCCTGAAGATTATACTTGGCTTTTCTGGGATAATTTTACAGAGTTTCTCATCGTGTTCTAAGATATGCCACTGTTTTTTAATAATCTTTTTTATTTCCCTACTTTTGTTATTATAATTAAAAGTGATGGGGAGAGAAATAGAATCATTTTTTATTTTTGGTTTATCTGTTAATAGTTCGTCCCTATTTTTATTTTTTATCTCATTAATATTTTCTAATAAATCTGATTCTGAATAATTTTTTTCCATAAATTTATTTTTTAAGACACCAGCTTGTTCACTAAAATTTTCTAATTCTGTACAGTTTCTCCGTAGTCTTAAAAATGGACTTTTTGGAGCACTGTCGAGCCATGGTTTGTAATGACAGCTGTTCTTGTCAATTACTGTGTTAACACAAACTTTTAAAAAAAAGGTTTTAGTATGGATTTGTCCATTTTTAATGAAAATGTTTAAATCTAAAAAACTGATTTGTTCTCTACTAAATTTGTGAGTTAAAATTATGCCTCTGTTATTAGTATTAAGAACGTTAATAAAAGAAATAAGACTATCTTCGGGTCCATGCCATATAAAAAAGAGGTCATCTATATACCTAAAATATGAGACTAGGTTTGCCCCTAAATTATCTCCATCATAAATGACATGAATAAATTGGCATAACTTGGGGCAAACCTAGTACCCATAGTTGTTCCTCTTTTCTGGAGGTAAAAGGAATTTAAAAACCAAAAATAATTATTTTTTAAAATGATGTTAATACCCTCTAAGATAAAATCGATTTGTTTTTCGAAAATTCTATTTTCTTTAGTTAAGATATTTTTAATGGCTTCACACCCAATATTGTGAGGTATAATAGTGTAAAGGGATTGGACATCACTGGTGACTAAAATAAAATTTGGATTCCATTTAAAATGATTTAAAAAGTTTAAAAGAGACATAGAGTCCTGGAGATACGACTTCATTTTTTTAAAGGCAGGTTGGAGGAGAGTGTCAATGTATTGGGAGAGGTTGCAGAGGAGCGAGCCTATGCCTGACACTATTGGTCTGCCGGGAGGATTTTCTACATTTTTGTGTATTTTTGGTAAGAAATAAACCACCGGGATTTTGGGGAATTTTTTATCTAAAAAATTAAATTCCTGTTTTGTTAAAATACCTTGGGATACACCTTTGTTTAAAAAGACAGATACAATATTTTGGATAGTGTTAGTTGGGTCTGATAGATCCTTAGGTGGGGATAATTCCACCCATGCTGTGATAATAGAGCAGTATCCATCTGCTCTATTTTTGTAAGTATATCTTATTTTATTTATTTACCTCATTTTGTTCTTACTGAGAGCACTATTACTGTTTTCATACACTCTGTGGAACCCGACGGAACCCAGTCCAACAGACAGACCCATCAGTGGAGAACATACCATTAAGAGCCGGTCTAAACTACAGCAAAGAAATCCATAGGTGGGGATAATTCCACCAGTGCTGTGAAAATAGAGCAGTATTCCCTGCTCTATTTCTGTGAGTATTATTTCATTTATTTTATTTTATTTTTAATTGTTCCTACTGAGAGCACTATTTACTGTTTCCTATATTTTGTGGGATTCGACGGAACCAAAATCGAACGGACGGACCAACTATCCCAGTATATCCTGAAGTGGGGATTATACCACTAAGTGCCCTCCATCTCAGAGCTGGACATAGCTCCACCAAATGTGAGTTCAAAATCCTGATTCTGATTTAATTTTTTATCCTTGAATTTACAATACTTCACTATCGGCAGTTTTTTTTGTGTTTCTTATTTTCACATAAATGGACAATTTTTAATCCGGACGGAATCATCCCCGAGGACCACAATCATACCTGATATCAGTGAGACTGTTTTTACTTCATTTTACTCCATTTGGAATTTCTCTACTTTTTATCCATTTTTATTAATACATCTGTACGGACATCACTTTTATATAATTTTTAAACTATACCTATTTATTAGTGTTTCAGTACTCATCAACGTATGTTTTATATCCATTGAATTTTAGTTTATTATCCAACAGCACAGCCCCAACCCCCTTTTTTTATTGGACAAGTGATGAGCCCTGCTATATGCAACTCCCTTAAAATTTGGGATGCCACTGCCCTCAAATACGGCCTGACCTCCGATCCATCGCCCATGACCCCAATTTTAAGAAATAAAGCATTTGTTCCGGGCTTGAATCCACGAGATTTCAAGGGCATAGAGAACGGCCTTTGGTAGACTCCCGATGGGGATAGGGCAAGAGGAAAAGCATATCCCTTGGGAAGTCTTCTTTCTGTGGAGAAGTCATACTTGTCGTCATCACCCCCCCTTTTCTACCCCTCACCCTTCCTTCTCTGCAACCTCGATTCTTAGAGGTACTTTTAGTATCTTCTTTTTCCTTACACATATTATGTCCTGATTCTTATCTTCCGACTGTTCAAGGAGGGAATACATGCGCGAGAAAAACAGAAACTCGCGAGCAAACGTACGATTTTATATTACGCTTAGATTTCCCCCCCCCCCCTTCTTTTTTTTTTCTCAGAGTTTACACACGTATGCAGACATGAGCGTGGTCGGCATAAATTATGTTACATATTATGTGTTATCTGCTAAGTGTTTTAAATACTATATAAAACCAAGCGGGATATCTAAATATACAAATGGATAAGAACTGTCGAAATGTAAACTCGTTTAGAGGTTTCTAGTTACGAGATATGGGCGAACGGGTCTGTTGACTTAATGTATGATTGTAATAATGCCTAATATACAGATTACATACCTGTTTATGTATAACCTTATCTTGATATATACGTATTGTTTCACGATGTCGTGTCTTGGAATAAATAAAGAATTTTTTTTTTTTAAAAAGAAGGGGGGAGTAAGAAGAAAGGGGGAGTAAGAAGAAGAAGGGGAGAGTAAGAAAAAGAAGAGTGGGGTAAGAAGAAGGCAAGAAGAAGAGGGGGTAAGAAGGAGGGGAGTAAGAAAAGAGGGAGTAAGAAGAAGAAGGGAGAGTAAGAAGAAGAAGAGTGGAGTAAGAAGAAGGGGTAAGAAGAAGAGGGGGTAAGAAGAAGAAGGGGAGTAAGTAGCCATGCAGGAGGGAGTAAGAAGAAGGGG